TCCTAATATAAAATTGAGATGAAATGTATGTGGCATCAAACTATTCGTAACGTGATTGGTTGAATATATCATAAGCATGAAAATATAGATAATTCCATACCAACATTCACACGCGCGCTTGCGCGCGCAACGTATACTAGTGTATATTTTAAAAGTATAATTTTTACTGTTTGAAATGTTAAATTCTCCCAGAGTGAGACTCCCTTCTCTTTCATCTGAGTTCCCATTCTCCTCATAATATGGACTATATATTAAAATGGCAATTTTTATTGTTTGAAACTGTAATTTTTTAAGATTAAAGAGTCGTTATTTACTATAGTGACAGCTACTAATCATTTATTTTGGATATTAAATTATAAATTGTGGCTTTTATACTTTCTACATTAAGTTCTGTAATATTTATATTTTTGCCACCTCGATGTCCACTTTACTGCTTGAAACTATAAAAATTAACCGGAATCCGAGTGAATTTTACAGTTTACTTTTTTCCGTATAGCCGTACGTTCTTTTTCAAAATCATTATTTTGTTTGATTACATAATTTAAATTTTAATATGGAACTACAAAAAATACAAAGAAAAATAGCAATATAAAAATTTTTAAATCTTTAATGAATAATTCATATATCCATGACATATATTAAATTGAAAAAAAAAAAATTAAATATATGCTCGGAGAGCTCAAAATAACACAAAAATTATATTTTTAAGCTCGAAGAGCTCAAAAACAAAATTTGTGATGTGTTGAGCGCTCTGGTATAGGGTTAGCGGGAAGTTGAAGGGATGGCCTTGAAGGTCAACCGTTTTCCTAATTTTTTTAACTTGCTGATTTTACGAATAAATTCAATTGCGAATTTTTTTATTTTTAAGTAACTGTTTTTTTATTTTTCATATTTTACGAAACATTTAATTTATTTTAGACGTTATTTACGTTTCTTACATTTTAGAAATATTATTATTTACATTTAGCTTATTTTACAAATGGAAAAATTTATGAGTTTCAAATTTTAGAATTCAGAATTCTCCAAATTTAGGGTTGGCAATAAATACCGAAAAATAGAAACCGACTTGAATTAATGAACGTGATTGTATATACACGGGAAGAAAATTGAAGGAGTTTTTACTATTTTACTATTGTAATTTTTACTAAATAAAATAGTAACGGTGGACTATACTTCTCATTTAGTAATTTTTACGATATACTATTGTAAATTTTATCCAACAAATAAGACTAGCAAGAGTTTTAAAAAGTCAAATACTATAGAGCAAACTATACAATATGTGTTTGTGAACTTTACAATTCAACTATTGTAAAAATTCACAGTTGGTTTTTTTAAAAGAAATATTAGGGAGGGAGAGAGATAGAAGGTTGCACGAATTGGTACCTGTACAGTAATCGAAAAAAGAAACAAATATTTTCGTGCTATCTGGGAATCGAACCCAGAACTCTGTGTTGGCAGCCAGAGACTCTCCCTCTAGGCTATCCGAGGTAAACTAAGACCCATGTCCTTTAACATTTACATAAACTCAGAGTCTAGCGCTGTGCACGGCCATCACTTACACTAATTGAGAGACATTCCAATTCAACTATTGTAAAATTTGCTATATTTCTATTGGAAAGATACAGAGGCAGCACTGGAAATTTTCATCTCTTACTTTTTACAATAGTAATATCGTATTTTTTCATGAATAAATAGTATTTTTTCTTCTAAAATATTTGATAATTAATAGTAATAAAAGTATAGTCCAGCTTTACAATAGTTGTATCGTAAATTTTCCCAGAAATTTTTTCCCGTGTATAATGAAATATGATTGTATGTAAAAATTTTTTCTTGGGAATATCTGTGAAAGACTTTCAAGATGGCGCATAACAAGATGGTGTCAACTGTTTTACAAAATGGCAGATGCGCGCTCATTAATGGAATCATATGTTTTCACTTCTAACATCCGTTTTTAAACATTGTGTTGAAAAAAAAAAAAAAAAGAACTATTTAATCTATTAAAATATGATTTTGTCCATAAAACTTGAAATTAATTTACAAAAAAGCAGTTGGATGTTAAGAAAGATATCGAGTTAGAATTATTTTTTAGTTTATTATTATTATGAATTATGATTATGACCATTAGTTACTTAAATACGAGCATGTTAATTTCTATTTTCCGGTACTCTCAACGTGTTAACCCCTACTCTGTGCTTGCAATTGCTATGCGTACTAACTACTGGTTCTGAAGGGAGGTCACAGTGGTGTACCTCGATCACAACCTATCCTTGAGGATTACAACACCACATCTGAACCGTCTATTGGTTCTTCAAAACGTCCCGAAGTACCAAGATTAACAACCAAGGTAATAATCGTCACAAAAAAGGGGATCAATTATATAAAATACAATTTCACCAACTAATTAATAAGGATCAGCATTGCCCAATTTATCTTCAGTTACTAAAACTAAAACTAAAACTCAATCATTAATATTCACATTCATAACATATTAATTTGAATTGAGTGTCTTTTTGATCCGGCGAACACTTGTTGCTCAAACTTGCTTCGATCAAGCTTTATTTATTTTCTTTTCTATTTTATTAATTTATCTTAATAATTAATTAGTTGATTACTCAATTAATTATTAGAAAATTGCTGTAGTGTAAACAGTACTGCATGTTTTAATCTTCATTTATACTTGCAAAAATTTTAATTAGGAACTTAGAATCTGTAGTTGTACTTAAATAAACATTTTTTACATGTAACACAAGGTTCATTGGTGTTCGATTTTTGGTCATATCACAGGTTAGTAATTTTTGTATTATTTATTTTATAGAGCAATGATTCAAGTGAAGAAGCTATGCATCGCAGTAATTTGACTGCTGACCCAAGTCCATCGGATATTACAACAGACAACGAAAACAAACATAATTCATCGGAGGAAGCTTGGACAGACGTTAATCTTAACGAAGATGCTGATACTATACAAATTAATAATTCACGTGATGATCCACGTAATATTCACAACATTACACATTCTCATGGTAATTTATATTTATTATCTCTTCTTAATAACAATTTATACTTGTTTTTTGATTGTCGAAGCTTTAACACTTAAATTCTGATAAGGTAAAAGACCCCATTAGTGGCACCTTTTCCCCCTATTAGTGGCACTTTTTCTTTCAATGAGAAAAGGTTCTTATTGGAATAAAAATTAAAAATTATTTTGATCTAAAGGTCTTAAAGATTAGAAATAATATATTTATTATTAAAATTAATGATTTTATTAATTGAATAAGTACCAAAATCAAAGAAAGTGTCAGTAATGGGGTCCCCGCCACTAATGGGGTCTTTTACCCTGTAACTTAAAAAAAAATTATTTTTATCACCGATTTCCTTTGTTGACATACGTCATAAAATGGTAGTCACAAAATCTACAAAGAATAAATTGACAAATAATTTAATGTAAAACAAATTTGAACATATGGGTGATTCTCTGTAAGGATGTTTTTTGCTGTCTCAGGCATTTTTTTATTAGAAAAATTGTTATTTTGTTACTAAAAAAAATTTATTACGAAAGTAAAAAAACATTTCTATTTGGAGAATTGAAAACTAAAATGAAATAAATTTTGGTTTTTTTGCTAAAAATTCGTAAACCACCGAAATAACAGTTCCCTGGGCTGTCCCATTCCCAAAATTAAAACTTTAAGATTAAATTTTAAGTTATTCGTCCATAATATGTAATTTAGTCCATAATGTTTATAAACTTAATTAGTTAACTAACAATCTTCTTCAATAAAAAGTACCGAAAGTTAATTTGTTTCATTAAATTCATTAAACCAAAGTTTGTCCCAGGCATTTTAAGAACAGTCCCCTGCCAGAAGTTCAAAGCCAAAAAAAAAATCCAGCGTGTTATTTTACCTTTTGTAAGGTTTATAAGGATCTAACTAGCCTTGAGTTAATAACCATAGGACTGTTAGCGCTTTATCGCCATTTTATTTAGTGTTAAAGCACCGTTTGTGCTAGAAATATGTGTCTGGGCCACTTCAAAACTCAGTCCTCTGGCAACTATTTTTATTTATAATTTATTTATATAATTGGATCCATAAGTCTTAATATTATTCTAATTACTGTAAACATTAATTGAGAACTTGAAAAGTTGAATGCATTGAAATAGTTTGCTTGATTTTTCTCAATTTGATAAAAAAAACAGTCCCCTGGCAAACAGTCCCCTGTCAAGTTATATGGCAAAAGATACAGAAATATCGAAAAAGCAAAAATTAAATCGGCTGTTTATTTATTATGATTAAGCTGATAGTTTTGTAGCCCTTGTTAATTTTTTTTCTAATAAAATCAAAAATAATTTGGTCGGACAATTTTGTACAGATTTAAGATGTCCTTACAGAGAATCACCCATATATAGAAGTTGAAAAAAACTAAGAGTGAAAATTTTTATAACTAATTTTTTTTTTTTATAAGAATTTTATTATCAAAATAAAATTCAATAATTGCACGTTTGATAACCGGTTGAGTTATTATTCTTAATACGCGCCTCTAACGTCGAAGTTATGAACCATTTTTTCAATCGACTAATCAGATTCAAATTCATGTTTATTTAATATATCGATATATATATATATATATATATATATATATATATATATATATTGGATATTTCTTTATCTGATAATTATTTATAATTTTGTATTTCTTTCTTTATAAATTTATTACTTTTTGTACTTATTATCTCTTTGCATTGTATTATCGACAAAAATTTTGTAAAAAGTATATGTATTATAAAATTGATATTTTTGTACTGGTTCTATAAACAGGTGTCTTTACACCTCGATAGAATTCCTTACCAGATAAATAAATAAATAAATAAATAAAT